CGCATAACTTCTGCTAGAAGGAACTTAATTCTATTTCCTTAAGACTGTGTTGCTTGCCTCAACTCTGCTAGCTCCCAACAGGCAACTGAGGATGTGGCTGTCCTAGACCCCAAGGCTTCTCTCAGAGAGGTCAGGACAGAAGGACCATGACAAGCAGGGGTCAAGGCTGGGCAGGGTGGCACTGGGCCATCCTAATGGGACCCTGTGAATGACCCTGGGCCATGGAAAATATGGAGGTTTTCTTGGAAAGAAGAGAGATGGAAAGACTATTCTCTGGTTGAATTCAGGATCTAAAAGGAGAAAAGCTGGAGGGGATGCAGTGCCATCCTAGAGAGTAAAGGGAGAGATTCTATCTTCCATCCCACCCAGGAGGAAAAGGGTGGGTCTGCACTGGGGAAGATGGGATTAGCTCAGCATCTGGGTGGGGAAGATTAAATATAAGAATGTGAGCAGAGGGGGCAGGGGTCAGCCCTGGGAGTTAAACATTTTTAAGCCCAAAAGGCATTGTGACTGGATTCTGTGGGCTCTTTGGGATGTTGGAGCCAGGACAGAAATAACAGTCATCCAATCACATGCAACCTTGTCAACATCATGGCAGCTGCCACCAGGTGATGTTTATCAAAGGGAAGAGGTTCCTCTCCAGAGAATACTTCGTGAATAACAAGTGCCTTCCTGGACTACACTGTCTCTCCATTGGCCTCATTCCTGCCCTCATGACAAAACTTCACTTATCCATACCCCCAATGATCTCCTTTATGGTTACCAGCCCGTAAATCCCCCACTTCAGTAAGCATGATCCCAATATCGCTCTGTTCTGTATTGTCTGACATTCTTGTGGTGTGCAGAACCAGAGGCACTGTGAGGCCAGGCAACAATCATGGGTCCTTAGACATCTGCAAATGAATAGGTTGCCCTTGGCGGTGTGAGGAAGGCCAGCTGTGGCCAGCCCATTGCTGCCACGTGGAGTTCCTGGCCTGCACAGCCTTCCTCTAGGTCCCCATCCTTCTCCTGTCATTCACTCACCCCACAGACTCCCCTGAGCACCCAGTGTGTGCCTCGTCCTGACTCTGGGGAACTCTGAGCCACATGGAGAAGACAGTGCCACTGAAAAGACTTAGTGAAGAGAGGGGGAACCAAAGTGTGTGCTGAGACCTGTAGCTGAGCTCTCCTGGAAATGGACAGCACAACCCAGGCTGCCTCCGCTGGGGATCATAGGATTTGTCTGCAGTTAAAACACCTGCAACCACACAGCTGTGGGTGACCAGGATGTGTCAGTGCAGGTCCAACAGTTGTAACAAATGCCTGGCCCAGTGGAGGGGCAGAGGTGTATGGGAACTCTCTACCTTCTGCTCAATTTTGCTGGGAACTTAAATATGTCTGAAAAAGAAAATCCACTTTTCAAAAATAGTTTTATTTGTTTCAAAGAGAAAGTGATAGAGAAAGGCATCAATGAAGTGAGAGAATCATTGATTGGCTACCTCCTGCAACCCCCTACTGGGCATTGAGTCCACAAACTCGGGCATGAGCCCTTGAACAGAATCAAACATGGAACACTTCAGTCAGCACTCTATCAACTGAGCCAAACCACCTAGAGCAAACATTTTCTTGTTTTTTAAACATCCCCATGGGAAAACAGTGTGGCATTTCCTCAGAAATTTTAAAATGAAACTTCCATTTGACCTAGTATTCCCATTTCTAGGAATACATTCCAAGAAAACAGAAACACCAGTCAGAGGGGGTATATGGAACCCTAGGTTCATAGCAGCACAACTTACAATAGCTAAGATTTGGAAACAGCCTCAGAGCCCCTCGGCAGATGAGTGGATTGGAAAAACAGTGATACATCTAAACAATGAAATACTAGGCTGCAGTAAAAAAAAGAAGGAATTCTTTTTAAAAAAAATATTTTTTTATTGATTTTTTACAGAGAGGAGGAGAGAGGGATAGAGAGCTAGAAACGTCAATGAGAGAGAAACATCGACCAGCTGCCTCTTGCACATCCCCTACTGGGGGTGTGCCCGCAACCAATGTACATGCCCTTGACCGGAATCGAACCCGGGACCTTTCAGTCTGCAGACCAACGCTCTACCACTGAGCCAAACCGGTTTGGGCAAAAGAAGGAATTCTTAACATTTGCAACAGCATAGATTGAACAGGAGATCATTACGCTAAGTGAAATAAGCCAATCAGAGAAAAAGAAATATCATACGATCTCACTCATTTGTGGAATATAATGAACACCATAACCTGATGAACAAAAATAGAACTAGAGTCACAGAAGCATCACACAGATAGTTCAACCTATGAAGGAAGGCAAGGGTAAGGGGGTAAGAGATCGATCAATCAAAGGACTTACATGCATGCATATTAGCATAAGCACAAGAGAAAGACAGTAGAGGGGTGAGGGTGGCAAAAGAGAAATCAATGAAGGAAAAAGAAGTCTTAGGTAATACTTTAAACAAGAAAGAATTAAAAAAATATATATATAAAATATCCCTTTGCACTCTTTAAAATAGTAAATTTCATTTATCATTCTATTTTATTATTTTATATTTTATTGACTTCAGGAAGGGGGAAAGGGAGAAAGTGATGGAAATATTAATAATGGGGGAGAATCATTGATTGGCTGCATCCCCAATGCCCCTACTAGAGATCCAGCCCACAACCCCAAGCATGTGCCTAACCATAAATGGAACCTTGACCTCCTGGTTAACAGATTAAACTCAACCTTTGAGCCATAGCAGGCATACTCCTTAATCACTTTACTAGGCATTTTATATGATTAACGTTTAGATAACTCACAACTAAACTATTTATACTCAAATAGCATCTACATAAAAGCAGATTTTGAAAACACTTCCCAGCAGAGAGCTGCTTGGAACACTAACATATCACCTGGTCTGACCAGCAGGTGGTCCACAAATCCTGAGGCCTGGCTATTTCTCCTGATAATCACCAAGGATGAATCCCCTCTTTTTACTACCCACAACCCAGGGCTGACTGCTTCATCTGTCTGGGTGAAGCAGGATCAGAGGACACCATGCAGAAGCTAAGTCCCACTAGGCACCCTGTGCTGGGCTCTCTTCCCTGTCCTCAGGAGGAGAGCAGGAGACTGAAGGGAAAGAATGCTGGGGGTTTTGCTGGGAGGGAAAAGAGGAAAAACCCATTTACCGACTCTTACTATATGCCAGGCCCACTGCCAAGCCTTAAACATGCACCATCTCCTTACAAGCATCCACTAAGCTGGGTGAGCACCATGATCCTCATTTGACAGGGGAGCTGAGGTTTTTGCCAGAGATCCCTCCACTCAACAGCACCCCTCCTCAGCATGAGTCTTCATTCATGCCCTTTGATTAGGGTCCCCATGATGGATTAATTTTATGTGTCAACTTGGCCTGAGGTCCTCCAACTTTTGGACCTCATGGACCACCAGAGTCAATCATTGAACTTGATGGCGCTAAGGGTTGACCAAATCATTGGTAAAGCCATTCTGGGTATGAATGGACCGGGTTAGCTTTTGATTCAGCACAGGAGTAAGGAGATATTACAGTGCAGCTGGGCTTCCTCTAATCTCTCAGGTGCCCAAGTGGATTAGAAAGAGGAAGGAAGGATGAATTCTCTCTTCTTTGGTTTTAGCTGATAGTGAACATAGGTTCCAGGTTGTCAGGGCATCCAACTCTTGGGTGTGCACCAGCTGCCCTTTATTCTCAGGCCTATGGCCTCACACTGGGGGTTCCCATATGGCCTCTCCTGGTTCTCAAGCCTAACTTGGACTTGGCCTCAGTTATACCATTGACTTTGTAGGCTCTCCAGCTTGCAGAGGGCAGGCATTGAGACTGAAGGCTGGAGCCCATCCCTATAAACCTCCTACCTGAGTCCATGTGTCCCTGTTGGCTATTCGGGGCACACTACTTAATAAAGCGACTGAGCACAGGGAAAATGCTCACTCATTTGTGCAGTGTGTCTGCTCCCCTTCCCGACAGACTGATTTCAGTACATGCTCTCTAGTCTAGCTCCATAGAGAGGCAGGAGGTGTAATGGGCCTAAGCCAAACCCCCATGGATATGACCTGCCCCCCCTTCCCAGGTTATATTTTGTGTGGTGTAGGAATCCTCAGGAAAAGTATTTTCCTCAAAGGAATTTGGATGATATTTCTGGTCATAAGCAGGTTACTTCCTTTGCACCAGGCCGATAGGCATGGGCTGGATGGCCCAAGGACACGGTGCCTCTGCGTGTGGATGAGCCCTTCTGAAACTGAGGGCCATGCCTTGTCCCTGAACCCCTCCTGGCACAAGTCCTAGGATGTGTGAGTCCACCTGCAGAACCATAGGGAACACTGGCATCCTCAGAGCCAGCAGCCAGGTCCCCTTCACTTCAGGGGTTGGTGGGCCACCTAGCAAGTCCCATTGTATCCACCCACAAGGAGGTCAGAGATGCCCAGAGAGAAGACAAGGCCTGGAGGGAGGGATTACATGGAGCTGAGCCGTGTAGCAGAACTGCAAGCAAGCAGTTTCAGGTTCTGATCCTGAGCCCTCCCCACCTTTTTTTTTTTTTTTTTTTTTCTAATAAGTAACTGCAGGGTCCTGAGGTGTAAACTGGAGAGACACGTGAACACAATCAAGAGGATGAGAAGGTTGCCTTTGAAATTCTTTATTTCTGATCATTGGTTTACAATAAACCACCGCAGGATTCACTCCCTCACAAGAAGCTCAAGTCCCAATTCTGACCCCCTCCCCAAGCAAATCAGATTCATGTTTCTGATTGTAGGACCTTACCCCCTGAGGTCCCATGAATTCCCCAACATTTGTCCTGGTCATCGTGGCCTGGTGCTGGGTCCCTTCCTTTCCCCATTCACAGTGAGCATGAACCCGAAATATGGATGTCCCCTGTATAATGCACCCCGGTTCTATATTAGAGCGTCCAAGGGCCCAGAACAAAGTTTTTGCTGAGTGTTCCCACTGAAGAGGTTGATTATAGGAACACAGCTCGGCTACAAGTCATCAAAACTCCACTTTATAAAATTTACTGATGCCACGTTGTTGACAGTACTTGGTGCCAAGAGAGATGATCCTGGGCTTTCCTAACTCCCTCAGAATCCCTGTCAGCTCAGCCCGAACCAGGGCAAGTCTGTCCTTCTTGACAGTCCCCTGGGTTGTGTAACACTCCAGGGGGACGGGGTACAGCTCCAGCTCTAAGCTGCTCAGCCCAGCTGTGTGGCGCAGCAACTTCTCCAGGGTGGTCAAAGACAAGTCGTTCCCAGTGATTGTGAAGAATCTGAGCTGATGACAGCGGCTCAGGACAGCCAGCATGGCCTCGACTTGGGAGTCCACCATCTCACAGTTGTCTAAGCCCAGGTCCTGGAGGGTGGGTGCCACAGCCTCCAGCAGAGCTCGGAGGGGCTCTGGCTTAAAATGTTTGAGGCTGAGAGCAAACAGATACAGAGTCTTCAGCTGCCTTATTTTTGGGCACTGGAACAGGTGTGTCAGGTCTGAATGCATCAAATGCCGGCAATTTTTTATGGAGAGTCTGTCCAAGGGGGTCTGCAGGCAGCTGGGGAGAGAAAGAGCCTTTAGTTCTGAGGATGGGGGTATCTGGTAGAGGGGTTCCTCCAGGGGCAGAAAATGGATTTGTCTAAGCCAAGGGTTGTCCTGACAATCTGATGAAGGGAAACACCCAGGACTCCCAGCCTCCTTTTAGGCTGGGTCAAGATCCCGACATCCCCTGAGCTTCATTGCATCAGCTGCCAAGCAGAGCATTGCACTCTGGAGGGTGACTGGACATATGAAAAACCCTGGGAACATACTCAGAGTGCCTGACAATGTCTAGGTCAAGGTGGGCATGCCTGCACCAAGGTGCTGTCAACTCAGGCTTCCTTCTGACCTGCTTATCTCTGGGCACCAGATTTCTAGGCCACACGAGGCTCGCTCATGTAAGACATAAAGAACACACATTGTACTAAGTGGTATGACTCAGTGGATAGAGTGTTGGCCTTTAGATGGACCTGTCTCAGGTTTGATTATCACTCAAGCACATTTGCAGGCTCAACTCCTAGCCCTGATTGGAGCATGAGGAGAAAGCAACCAATCCATGGATCACTCTCACATAAATGTTTCTCTCTCTCTCTCTTCCTCTTCCTCTCTAAAACTCAATGGGAAAAATATCCTCAGGTAAGGACAAAGAGAGAGAGAGGGCCAGAGAGTGAGAGAGAGCAGAACTGGGCAAGATCCTGTAGCAACATCTGGGAAAGCCAGTCTGCAGAGGTAACTTACATCCCTGCGTCACTGCAACCACCTCTCACTCTTTGCAATGCTTTCCACTCTCGTTCTTTTGCTGTGGAATCATGTCTGTCCTTTCTACCAATGACCTTCCCTGGGGCCCAGGACCACCTAACAGACGGAGAACCTGACACAGGCTCACGTGTGTTCACAATGGCTGGAGGGCACAGAGCTTATGTCTGGAATTGACCCATCCGATGTGGCTTTGCCTCCTCCTTCCTCTCCCTAAGTCCTCAGCACTTAGACATCTCTCCCTAAGAAAGAATTCACACACCCAGGCTCGGTGGGTTCCCTATTGTACCATTTCTGTTGCCCACCCTGACAGGCTGATTTTAAAACATGCTTCCTTTGGGTGCTCATGGGATACCACCCTCAAAGCACCTAACAAGACCACTTCTTTTACATTCTAAGACTGTGACCACTGCTACACAGCTCACCTGAGCATCTGGTCCAGACGGCCTAGGAGGAAGCAGGGAGAATCCATGTGGAGCTCTCGGAGGTGCTGCAGTCTGAGGATCTGAGAGAGTAATTGGTGAAAACATTGCTGTTCCTCCCTCTCCCACTCTTCTTCACCCTGTTCCTCTTCCTCCTCCTCTTCTTCATTGTCCTCCTCTCCTGCCAACATGTGGATGTGGGAGAGAGAGAGTTTCTGCAGGTTCCTCATCTGCCCCAGGTAAAGAGCAAACGTCCCCAGGGTGGGCAGGTCCCAAATGCAGTTCAGTTCCACCGCCTGGATACAGTCCAGCTGCACCACATCCAGGACCTTCCCCAGCCGTTGGAAGGGCACCGCAGCAATCCTCAGCGTCTTGCAGCACAGGTGTAGCAGCCCTTCCCTCTGCTTGGCCCATTGGATGACGTACAGGAGAAATGAATATCTATCCCATTCATTAAAGTTAAGGTCTAGAAACACCTCCACGGGAGCTAAGGGGTGTTCCATGTTGGGGCTGGACCTGTGCACAGCCACTGGTACCATCGGTGAGCGCTTCTGGGTGCTGCATCCAAACCACATTCTCCAGAAGTCAGAACCCCTGTCCCTTAAATCCAGCACCCGCAGTTTGCACCTCCTGTGGGGAAAGCAGGACATTAGTCTAGATTCTTTTAGGTCAACAGGACAGTGGCTAAGATGCTTTATGGACAGTGTGTCTCAGTGATTGAGCATCTACCTATGAACAGGAGGTCATGATTTGCTTCTCAATCAGGGCACATGCCTGGGTTGAAGGCTCAATGCCCAGTGCAGAGGGAAAGCATTTTCAAGAGGCAGGCCATCAGTGACTCTCTCTAATCATTGGTGTTTCTATTTCTATCTCTCCCTTCCTCTCTGAAATCAAGAACAAAAAATGTTTTTAAAATAATGACAGAGGCCTAGCTGGTTTGGCTCAGTGGACAGAGTATCAGCTTGTGGACTGAAGGGTCCCAGGTTCTATTTCAGCTAAGGCCACATGTGGGGGTTTCAGGCTCAATCCCTCCAGATGGGGGCGTGCAGGAAGAATTAATGATTCTTTCTCATCATTGATGTTTCTTTCTCTCTATCCCTCTCCCTTCATCTCTGAAATCAATAAAAATATATTTTTGAAAAATAACAACAGAACGAAAGCAGGGAAGAATGAGATTGAGCATCTGGGTTGAGGCAGCAATCAGACTGCACCCCAACCGTGAGCTTCTACTTAGAATTCCAAGGTCAACTTCGCCCTTACCCTCCTCTTCCCTCTGCTTTGCTCATCTCCTTCCATCCCTGCTGGTACGTGCTTCTCCTACCTTCAAATACAACTGGGAGGAGGCAGTGCATTTTGCAGATGACTCTCCCAGTTGGGAGTCCTCCAGTTCCCATGGTGAGCTCAGCAGTGTGCTAGGGCTCCCTGAGCCTCACTGGCACCATCTGAAACCTTGGGTCCCCCTTAGGCCTCCACACGCCCTGATGCCCATTGCCTCCAGGATACCTAGGACCCTACCAGGCACCTGGAGCAGCCTTACCTGGGGCGAACTTCCTGGGCAAGCAGAAGGTCAAGCCCATCCAATATGGCTTTGAAGACCTCGTCCAGTGACAGGTCTGGCAGACCGCCCAGAGGGAGGACAGTGAAGGGCCAGGCTTGTGACATCGCCTTCAGGACCTGGAGACGTCTACTTCGGTAGGCCTGAATGAACAGCTGCGGGAAGAGCTCAGCGGGCAGGTGCTCCAGAGCTGCGATGGCCAAGGCCTGGTCCCTCAGCAGGCTCTCCCCTGCCTGGTGCAGGAGTGTGGGTGGGGTCTTGATGCTCATTCTCAAGGTGCTCCAAAGTAATCCTGTAGAAACAACCAGGGAACAAGGCAACGTTTTCAAGCCAAGCCTTTGAGCCTCATCTTCTGACTCCCCATTTTCACAGGAATCAACTCAGGGCCAAAGCCACTGCCTGGCAATGATGAGCGCCTCTGTTTAGAGAGTCCCATTCCGGGCTAGGTGACCACAGAGCCATAGCTCCCCTGCAGGCCCCAGGACAAGCATCTCAGAAGCATCCATATCTTTCATTCTGGTCTGCCTGGGAAGTGGGTACTGAAGGGCCTGAAAGATGACCCCCACCTTTTTTGGGGAAAATTTCAGACCAGTCTATAAACACAAACTTAATATTTGAAATTTCAAGAAATAAAACCAGTTAAGATGTTTTCATTAGGGGTGTGGGATGGGGGGAGGGGAGGGGTGTTGGGGAATCAGCTTGGTTACACATTTATAAATAGACCAAAGCACAAACCCAAATGTTGGAAATCCAGGCCAAACTACACTTAGAGGCAAAATCAATTATTTCAATTTCTTTGTCAGTAAAACAAAACAAAGGAAGAAGAAAAAAAAAGAAGCTTTGTGCCACCTTGAGAAATTTACCTGTTGTTGATCTGGTTGGCAGGGGCTCCGATCTCAGACCTGGTGGAGAACCTCAGCTCTGACTGAAGACCTGGAACTCTCTGATGCTCTGCTCTGATACCTGAGGTTTTTATACACCTTCTTAAACACTAGAATCCAATCAGATCCTCAGCCCCCAGCCCTTAATCCTACCAGGCACCTGGGGTGAACTTCCTTCGAATAGTCCAATAATGGGATTATTGCCCCTTCAGATGATTGGATTGAGAGAAAGTTAGGGAGGGGCAAGATGAAAGCTTGGCTCATTGATCCCTTCCACAGACACTGACTGAGGTTGACTGATGGCCCATAGTTATCATCCGGGTGTGAGACAGTTAAGGTATCGTGGGTTCCTGATGTTAAATAGGAAAGAGAAAAACCGGAGAGCATGGTTTCTGGGGGGTCTTTGGCCACATCAGAGTTATCAGAACATTGCAGAGTTGAAACATCCTCAAGAAGATACTGATGCCATCCCCAGGGGAACTAAGGAAATGTGTCCAGGCATCAAGTTAGGTTTTATGTCAGGTGAGCTCCTCTGGGAGCAAGTGGTGGGAGACTGAGGATGTGGCTGTCACAGACCCCAAGGCCTCTCTGAGGGAGGTCAAGTCACAAGCACCATGAGAGGCAGGGGACAGGGCTGGGCAGGGTGATGCTGGGCCATCCTATTGGAAGCTGTGAATGACCCAGGGCCATGGAAAAGATGGGTATTTTTCTTGGAAAGAAGAGAGATGGAAGGACTCTTCCTTGGCTGAATTTAGCATCTCAAAGGAGACAAGCTGGAGGGGAGGCAGTGCCATCCTGGAGGCAAAAGGAGAGATTGGATCTTCTGTCCCGCCCAGGAGGAAAAGGGTGGGTCTGCTCTGGGGAAGATGGGATTAACTCAGCAAAAAGGGTGAAGCTTAAATCTAATAAACTGAGCATAGGGGGAAAGGGTCAACCTTGGGAGTTAGACATTTTCAAGCCCAAAAGACATTGTGGGTGGATGCTGTGGGCTCTTTGGGATCTTGGAGACAGGGTCAGAAATAAAAGTCATCCAATCACATGCAACCCTGTCAACATCATGGCAGCTGGGACTTTTAGTCAAGGTTTTTATACAGAGAAAACTTCCCAGATAGCAAATGCCTTCCCTGACTACACCATGTCTCCTTGGCTCCACTCCTGCCCTCATGGCACCTTTTTACTTCTCCACACCCCCAATGGCCCCTAAATCCCCCATTTCAGTAACCCTGACCCCAATATCGCTCGACATCCGTGTGGTGTGCAGAACCAGAGGCACTGTGAGGCCAGGCAGCAATCATGGGTCCTTAGACATCTGCAAATGAACAAGTGGCCCTTGGGGGTGTGAGGAAGGCCAGCTGTGGCCAGCCCATTGCTGCCACATGGAGTTCCTGGCCTACACAGCCTTCCTCTAGGTCCCCATCCTTCTCCTGTCAGTCACTCACCCTACAGACTCCCCTGAGCACCCAGTGTGTGTGCCTCGTCCTGACTCTGGGGAACTCTGAGTCACATGGAGAAGACAGCGCCACTGAACAGACTCTGGCGTGAGGACAGGAGGCACCGGAGTGAGTGCTGAGGCCTGTGGCTGAGCTCTCCTGGAAATGGACAGCACAACCCAGGCTGCCTCCGCTGGGAACCATGGAATTTGTCTGCAGTTAAAACACCTGCAACCACTCAGCTGTGGGTGACAAAAATGTGTCAGTGCAGGTCCCACAGTTGTAAGAAAAGTCTGGCACAGTGGGGGTTGGGGGTGGGGTGGCTGTGAGTGTGGAGGGGCAGAGGCGTATGGGAACTCTCTACCTTCTGCTCAATTTTGCTGGGAACTTAATCTGCTCTAAAAAATGAAATCCACTTTTCAAAAATATTTTTATTTATTTCAAAGAGGAAAGGAGAGAAAGATAGAGGCATCAATGAAGTGAGAGAATCATTGATTGGCTACCTCCTGCAAGCCCCCTCCTGGGCATTGAGTCCACAAACTCGGGCATGTGCCCTTGAACAGAATTGAACATAGGACACTTCATTCGACAATCTATCCAATCAGCCAAACCCCTTAGGGCAAACATTGTTTAAAACAATATCCCCTTGGGAAAACTGTATGTTATTTCCTCTAAAATTTTTAAATGAAACTTCCATTTGACCCAATTCTCCCACTTCTAGGAGTACATTCCAAGAAAACAGAAACACTAATAAGAGAGGATATATGCACCCCAGATTCATAGCAGCACAATTTACAATAGCTATGATTTGGAAACAACCTAAGTGCCCCTCATCAGGTAAGTGGATTAGAAAACAGTGACAGAACTACACAATGAAATACTAAGCTGTTGTAAAATAAATAAATAAATAAGAAGGAGAAATTCTTACTATTTGCAACAGCATGAATTGAAAAGGAGAGCATTATGCTAAGTGAAATAAACCAATCAGAGAAATATCACATGATCTAACTCATTTGTGGAATATAATGAACATTGTAAGCTGATGAACAAAAATGGATCCAGAGTCTTGGAAACATCAAACTGACTCTCCAACCTATGAAGGAAGGTGAGGGAGAGGGGGTAAGAGATGAACCAAAGGACTTATATGTGTACATTTGTGCATAACTGTTGGACAAAGACAGCAGGTGGTGAGGGCATGTGCCTGGTGGGTGAGGTCAGCAAAGGAGAAATCAATGAGGGAAAAAGAAGACTTTCGTTATACTTTAAACAATAATCAATTTAAAATTTAAATATATATACATAAAATATCCCCATGCAGTTTTTAAAATTCTAAATTTCCTTTACCATTCCATTCTTCAAATACTTTTATTGATTTCAGGAAGAGGAGAGGGAGAAAGTGACAGAAACATCACTAAAGAGAGAGAATCATTTATTGGCTGCCTCCCAAATGCCCTCCACTAGGGATCCATCTCACAACTTTAGGCTTGTACCTAACCAGAAATGGAACCTTGATCTCCTGGTTAATAGTTCAATATTCAACTCCTGAGCCACACCGGGCATTCTCCTTAATTACTTTAATGTGTACATCGTTCTCTTTAATCACTTTAATGTTTATATTGTTAACATTTATATAACTCACAACAAGAGTATTTATACTCAAATAGCATCTACATAAAAGCAGATTTTGAAAACACCCCACAACATAGTTCTGCATGCAACCCTAGCACATCATCTGGTCAAACAGCAGGTGACCTGGCTATTTTTCTGATAATTACAAGGGATGAATCCACTCTTTTCACTACAATCCCACCCCTACCACACAACTCTCACCCACACCCACACCCCAGGTCTGACTGCTTCAGCTGTTTGGGTGAAGCAGGATCAGAGGGGACCTATGCAGAAGCAGAGTCCCACTGGGCACCCTGTGCTGGGCTCTCTTCCCTGTCCTCAGGAGGAGACCAGGAGACTGAGGGGAAAGAATGCTGGGGGTTTTGCTGGGAGGGAAAAGAGGAAAAACCCATTTACCGACTCTTACTCTATGCCAGGCCCACTGCCAAGCCTTAAACATGTATCATCTCCTTGGATCTACAAGCATCCTCTAAGCTGGGTGAGCACCATGATCCTCATTTGACAGGGGAGCTGAGGTTCTTGCCAGAAGTCCCTTCACCCACCAGCATCCTCCTCAACGTGAGTCTTCATTGGAGTGCCCTTTGATTAGGGTCCCTGTGATGGGTAAGTTTTATGTGTCAACTTGACCTGAGGTCGTCCAACTTTTGGACCTCATGGACCATCAGTTGGCAACCACTGAACTTGATGGCGCTAAGGGATGACCAAATAGTTGATAAAGGCATTCTGGGTGTGAATGGACCAGGTTAGCTTTTGATTCAGCACAGGAGTAAGGAGATCTTACAGTGCAGCTGGGCTTCCTCCAATCTCTTGGGGGCCCAAGAGGAATAGAAAGAGGAAGGAAGGAAGGAAGGAAGAATTCTCTCTTCTTTGGTTTTAGCTGATGGTGAACATAGGTTCCAGGTTGTCTGGGCATTCAACTCCAGGGTGTGCACCAGCTGCCCTTTAGCCTCACACTGGAGGTTCCGCCATGGGCTCCCCTGGTTCTCAGGTCTTCGGACTTGGCCTCAGTCATACCATTGGCTTTGTAGGTTCTCCAGCTTACAGAGGGCAGGTATCGGGACTCAAGGTAGGTAAATCTCCTACCTGTGTCCCTGTTGGGTCTTCCGGGGAAAGCTGCCTAATATTGTACAACGACTGAGCACAGGGACGGACGAAGCTCACTCATTTGTGCAGTGTGTCTGCTCCCCTTCCCAACAGGCTGATTCCAGACATGCTCTCTAGTCTAGCTCCATAGAGAGGCGGGAGGTTTAATGGGAATATGCCAATCCCCCATGGATATGACCTGCCCCTGCTCCCCTCACCGGGTTCTTTTTTATGTGGTGTACAAATCCTCAGAAAAAGTGTTATGTCCCTGGATAACTGTAATATTTTGTTCAAAGGAATTTGGATAATTTTCCTGGCCACAAGCATGTTACTTCTTCCGCACCAGGCTGACAGGCATGGGCTGGATGGCCCAAGGACTTGGTGCCTCTGCAGTGTGGACAAGCCCTTCTGGAACTGAGGGCCATGCCTTCTCCTTGAACCCCTCTTGGCACAAGTCCTGACATTTGTGAGTCCACCTGCAGACCCACAGGGAACACTGGCACCCAGGGTCAGAGCCAGCAGAGAGGTCCCCTTCACCTCAGGGGTTGGTGGGCCACCTAGCAAGTCCCATTGTATCCACCCACTGAGCAGCCACAAAGAGGTCAGACAGGCCCAGAGAGAAGAGAAGACCTGGAGGGAGGGGTGATATGGTACTGAGCCCTGCAGCCGAACCGCATCCCAGCAGTTCCAGGTTCTGACCCTGAGCTCTCCCCACCTTTTTTTTTTTTTTCATCAGTGACTACAGGATCCTGGGGTGTCAACTGGGAAGACAGGTGACCACATGCAAGAGAACCAGAAGGTTGCCTTTGAAATTGTCTTTATTTCTGATCATTCCTTTACAATCATCCACTCCGGGATTCACTCCCACACAAGAAGCTCAAGCCCCAATTCTGGTCCCCCCCACCCCCCCCACACACAAATGAGATTCATGTTTCTGGTTGTAGGACACTTTGCCTTTGAGGACCCAATAACTCTCCTTCTTTTGTCCCTGCAACGCTTTACCCAGGCTGTGTCCCTCCCTTTCCCCATTCACACTGAGCATGAACCTGAAACATGATTGGCCCCTATATAATGCACCCCGGTCTGAGGTTTCAGCTTCCAAAGGCCCAGAAAGGAACTCAGGTACACCGACTGAGCAGGGTCATTTCAGGGGCATAGCACAGGCTCCCTGGCATGAAAATGCCAAAGCATAAAGCTCCCTGTGGCCACTGTGCTTGGTGGCAAGACGGATGTCCCTGGGCTGCCCTAACTCCCTCAGAATCCCCACCAGCTCAGCCCGAATCACGGCAAGTCTCTCCTGGTTGACAGTGTCCTGGGTCGTGTAACACGCCAGGGGCACGGGGTACAGCTCCATCTCTAAGCTGCGCAACCTGCTGTGTGGCGCAGCAGCTTCCCCACGGTGGCCAAGGACAAGTCGTTCTCAGTGATGTTGATGAATGTGAGCTGGTGACAGCGGCTCAGGACAGGCAGGATGGCCTCGACTTGGAAGTCCACCATGGCACACTTATCAAGGCCCAGGACCTGGAGGGTGGGTGCCACTGCCTCCAGCAGAGCTTGGAGGGGCTCAGGACTAAAGTCAGCGAGGCTGGCACAATACAGACGCAAGGACTTCAGCTGCCTGAGGTTCGGGCACTGGAACAGGTGTGTCAGGTCTGAGTGGGTCAGGCGCTGGCAATGCGTTATGGTGAGTTTTTCCAAGGGGGTCTGCAGGCACCTGGGGAGACACAGAGGGTTAGTTCCTGGGGACAGGGTGGCAGGTAGAGGGGGTCTCCATGTGGGAGAAGACCGATTTGTCCAAGCCCAGGGTTGTCCTGACAATGTGATGAAGGGAAACACTCAGGAAGCTCAGACTCCTTTTAGGCTGGGTCAAGGTCACCACTTCTCCAGAGCCTCCTTCCTCAGCTGCCAAGCAGAGCACTGTATGCTGGAGGGTGCCTGGACAGACTGGAAACCCCAGGAACCTGCTCAGAGAGCCTGATAGCTTCTAGGCCAAAGTGGGCATCCCTGCAGCTTATGATTGGGAGACAAAACCAACCATCTTGCAACTCAGGCTCCCTTCTGTCCACTGCTTGGCTCCAGGCACCAGACACCTGGACCACAGGAGATTCGAATTCTTATGGAACTCAAGTGGCCCTAGCCTGTTTGACTCAGTGGATAAAGCTTTCTCTTTGGATCTAAGGGTCTCAGGTTTGTTTCACGGTCAAGGGCACAGATCTCAATTGAAGTTTCAATGCCCGACCCTGATTTGGGGCATGTGCTGAGGGCAATAAATAATTTCTCTCTCACATCATATTTGTAGTAATGTTTCTGCTTCAAACATAACGTTATTGAGTTTTCCACTGAACTTCTTTAAGTCTCTATTTGTGTGTCTTTTCTGTTAAACTAGAAGTCTTGATTTCTAACCATAATTTTTTATTGCTGTAATCACTTTTTTTGTTTTGTTTTGTTGCTGCAAAAAGCTTTATTGTTTCCATTTGGTACAATGTATGGGAGAGGGCTTCAGGCTGGTTAATAAAATGACTAGTAGTTTTGGGGAGAAGCTCAGGCAAAGGCCAGACACCGGAGGGATGAAGAGGGGCCCCTCAAAGGCCTCTGGGCTCCAAAGGCTCCTAGTTGTGCTTGAGGGTGAGCCTTTCAAAGACACAGTCGCCCAGCCCAACCTGGGGGCCCGCACCCTGCAGAGGTGAGTCAGGTGTAGGCCATCTTGATGAGTTTCACCTCCTCACCCCGAAGTGGTTCTCCAGGAAATCACAGAGCTAAGGGTCTATGAGGTGGAACCCAGTGCCTGCAGTTCCAAAAGGGCCTGGGTCAAGACCCTCTCCAAGGCCATGACCACCTCCCTGGAGTCTTAGTTTTGCCCACTCATCTTGGGAGGCTTCAGCATGTCCTGGCAGAGAATGTGGGCGCCACGCTGGTTTTGCATCTTTAAGAGACACTCGGTGCCCTCTTGCTTCTTCTCTCCTAACTCGCCCTCCAAAGCCATGTCGTCTCATCTCAGTCTGAATGGAAGAGCAGAGAGCGGTAGGTGTTGGAGGCCCACGGAGGCAGGCTGGTGCTGACCACAGCCTCCACCTCGGTGGAATCATTCTGACGGATTTGAGAGCTCATGGTTGTTTGGTAAAAAGGAGTTAAGGTAAGAAAAAACTGTGTTGGCTGGTCTCGGAGGTGGTTCCCAAGTGGTGACTAGGAAAGATGGTGGAGGGTGGTCGGAGGCTGGAAGAAGGGGTGTCCCCGGGTCTGTTCCATCCAAACCCTGTTGAAGCAAGAGAACGTGAATCCCTTTATTGTTTTTCCAGAAACGGAAATTACTACCTTTCGCCAGGAATATGGGAGACCCGCATGGCAGGCAGGATTTCAGTAGCCTCTGTAAGGCAGGGGAATCGTAGCCTTCGACTTGAAGGAAGTTCATCAGATGAAGGAAGAATCAAAATGTCTGCCTTTGCCTATTTCATACCTATATCCTAGTCAACCAAACCAGATACGGAGTGAAAGTTAAGTATCTGTTATTTATTACCAGTAAACAGATTGCTATATAAAAATGGCAATCAAATTTTAAGTAGACTAGAGACCTGTTGCACAAAGATTCATGCAAGAATGGGCCTTCCTTCCCCTGGCTGCCGCCACCACCTTCACTCTGGCCAGGAGCCACCGTTCCGCCTTCCCATGCTGCACAGAGGCCCAGAGTGGCTGGGGTGGTGTGGAACGCCTGCATCATCACCATGGCAATGACACAAGCATCCTGCCCCGCCCCTGGCTGCTCAGCGCCTGTGTATGCAAGTAACCTGCCATCTTTGTTGGGTTAATTTGCATACTCCTAATTGGCTGGTGGGTGCTGTGAATGTACGGTTAATTTGCAACTTTCTCTTTTATTAGTGTAGATAGTCATGGGGTAAAAAGATAATCCCACAAAAAAAATTGCAAGGAAGAAAATAATAATAAAGAACAGAAATAATTGGAAATAAATAAATAATAGAAAAAATCAATAAAACCAAAAGTTAGCTATTAAAATAAATTATAACATTGACAAATCTTCATGATTAAAAAAAAGAGAGAGACAGAATTCACAAATAACCCATACCAGGAATGATAAAAGGGATACACTACAGGTATTAAATACAAGATGAGATATGATGAACAATTATATGACAATAAATTTGAAAATTAAAAAAATGGAAAAATTCATAGAGAAAAACAATTTAGCAAAAGTGATTAAAGAAGAAGTAAAATGCTTAAAAATTTCTACAACCACTGAAGGAAATGAATTGGTAGGAAAAACATTTCACAATAAAAACTTCAGGCTCAGAAGGCCTTCCTGGTAGGACTTTCACCAAATATTCATACAAGACATTATTGTAATCTTACACACATTCTTTCACCCACAAAAAGAAGGGGTTCCCAATGCTAGCCTAGCATCTCCTTAATACTACCCAATACTTAGCCAAGGAAGCCAAAAAGCAATCCCTCTTCCTCATGAACAAACAGGCAAAAGTCCTTTAAACACATGAGCAAACCAAACTTAGTATCATTTGAAATGGACAAAACGCAATGAGCGAATGGAGTTTGTACCAAGAACACCAGGTGGTTTATCCTTAAGAAAATTAATTACTGTTATTCACAACACTCAGAAAGTAAAAGAGAAACAGCATATGATTGGTTTAATACATGCAAAAAGAAGCATTTGATAAAATGCAACGCATCTGTGATAAAGCTTGGCAATCTAACCACCTGCAGCAAATATTCAATACATTAACGGTGAAATGGCGAAGCTCTTCCCTGGCCAGCAGGAGCAAATCAAGGACATCGGCTGCCATCCTGTCTCCACACCAGCACAATGAGACAAGAAAAGGGACAAAGTATAATCGAAAAATATAAACAAGAAATGGGGGAAGAAGAAAGAGCCCTGTGGGGTTGGATGGAGGGCGTGATGCTGATTCATTAATAAAAAACACATAAACGCTACAATTACATCCCATATTTACATGCCCATGTAAAACTAAAATAAGAAGAGAGTTTAGCTAGCTGACTAGCTCTGTTCCTTCCTTCAAGGAGGATATGAGCCGGGACTGGTTTGGCTCAATGGATAGAGCGTCGGCTTGGGGACTGAAGGGCCCCAGGTTCGATTCCGGTCAAGGGCATGTACCTTGGTTGCAGGCATATCCCCAGTAGGGGGTGTGCAAGAGGCAGCTGATCGATGATTCTCTCTCATTGATGTTTCAAACTCTCTCTCTCTCTCCCTTCCTCTCTGTACAAAAATACAATAAATAAAATATATATATATATATTTTTTTTTAAAAAGGAGGATGCGAGCAACACAAATTGGGAATCAGTCTTTTTCTTAGGATATCTTTGCCTTTAAAAATCTCTAGCAAAGAAATTGCACCAGTTACATAAAATTCAAAGTAATTTTTAAAAATCAGCTACAGCCTCGGGCTTCTGTACAGAGATGGCCAAGTCCAAGAACCACACCACACACTACCAGTCCTGAAAATGGCACAGAAACGGCATCAAGAAACCCCGGTTATGCCTAAACCGGTTTGGCTCAGTGGTAGAGCGTCGGTCTGTGGACTGAAATGTCCCGGGTTCGATTCCGGTCAAGGGCATGTACTTGGTTGCAGGCACATCCCTGGTGGGGGGTGTGCAAGAGGCAGCTGGTCGATGTTTCTCTCTCATCAACATTTCTAGCTCTCTATCCCTTTCCCTTCCTCTCTGTAAAAAAAATCAATAAAATATATTTAAAAGAAAAGAAAAGAAAAGAAACCCTGGTCACAAAGAAAAAATCTCTTAGGGGGTAGAGCCCAAGTTCCTAAGGAACATGCGCTTTGCCAAGAAGCACAACAAGAAGGGCCTAAAGAAGATGCAGGCCAACAACGCCAAGGCCAGGAGCGCCCGCGCTGAGGCCAACAAGGCCCTGGTCAAGCCTAAGGTTCCCAGGTCCAACATCCCAAAGGGCTGTAGCCACAAACTCAGCCGACTTGCCTACATCGCTCACCCCAAGCTTGGAAAACATGCTCGTGCCTGCATTGCCAAGAGGCTCAGGCTCTGCCGGCCAAAGGCCAAGGCCAAGGCGGAAACCAAGCCCCAGGCTGCAGGTGCGGCTGCAGCTCAGGCTCCTGCCTCCAAAGGTGCCCAGACCCCCATGAAGGCTCCACAGTAGAGGTCTCTGCCTGCCGACGTGAGGACGGAAGGACTGGAGAGCGGAAGGGCCCTGGGCTGCTGTCTGCGTGGCGCTGGTGCCATCCCATGCTGCTTGTACAGATGAACCTGCGGCAGGATAAAAAAAAAAAATCAGTTTGTGCGATGAGAGCTACAACACAATTAGAAAATTCTAGTGTTGAAGGAGACTTTATTTTATTTTATTTTTTAAAATATATTTTACTGATTTTTTACATAGAGGAAGAGAGAGGGATAGAGAGTTAGAAACATCGACGAGAGAAACATCAATCAGCTGCCTCTTGCATACCCCCTAATGGGGATGTGTCCGCAACCAATGTATATGCCCTTGATCAGAATCAAATCTGGGACCTTTCAGTCTGCAGGCCGATGCTCTATCCACTGAGCCAATCCTGTTTCAGCTGAAGGAGACTTTAAGGATGATCTCATTCAAAAGGAAATCTCTTCGATGTTTGTGAGTGTGGCTGTTGGGGGAGGTACCCGCCTGCTTTGGGGAGGACCTGACACCTGCTGCCCCCACTTGGGAAGCTCTCCAGAGCAATGATAGAAGGGCGCGGTGTCAAGCAAAGAGGAACAACCCACTTAGGGTGACAGATCGCAGCTGATTCAATGCGATTTTGCATGCTCACTAAGTGGTGTCCTAGCACCAGCTAGTGGCAGGAATTAATGAAGACGTTATTTGCCAGGAAAAACAGAACATTTGTCATAAGGAAATTTTACATTTCAATTTCTCGAGCAGCTTTTAGGCAGCTTCCACAGTCCATCATTTTTACCCTCTCGACTACATAACTCAGACATCTTCATAGAAAATGCTGAAGGGTGCTGTTTTGCTGAAAGAAAAAAAAAAATGGTGAGGGACTTGCGTCCGCAATTGACAGAATCCTGGGAAGATGGTTGAGGATGGGAGCGGGGAAAGAAGGGAATGAAAAATCGTTGTGTTTGGAAAAACAAACAAACAAAAAAAAACTACCCTTGAATATATAGCCTTCACAGAGCTTGTGAGTGTGGAGCAATTTCTTGGTCTTCACCCTAATTCAGTCTGAAGGGTCCTCTGGTTGTCCTTGAGAGCAGTTATTAACTAAGACCCCAGCCCAGGTATTATCACCCACATGATGGAAAATCTGAAATTTCAAACAGACCATCACATCACAATCTGAGCCAGCTCTGACACCGTTTTTACTCTTCTTTTTTGTAGACAAAGAGAATTAAGGGCTTTTCTGGCTAATTTTCTATATATAGATTTTATATATATATTATTGATTTCAGAGAGGAAGGAAGAGGGGGAGAGAGAGAGAAACATCAACAATGAGAGAAAAATCATTGATTGGCTGCTTCCTGCATGCCCCCTACTGGGGATCGAGCCTGCAACCCGGGCATGTACCCTGATGGGAATCAAACCATGACCTCCTGGTTCAGAGGTCAACACCCAACTACTGAGCAACCCTAGCCATGCTCTGTAGCTGATTTGACCCTGGTAGCTAGCCTGCTCTGACGCCGTCAATGTAGCTTACCTTCGTTATTGCTTTCACACCCAGAAGATCCAGTGCGTCCACACAGCACATGCAGCATTAATTCATGATGATCACAAGGTGTGATTAAACTGCATGCAATAGCTAAGAGCTAGAAGATGCACACAATTCAACATGTGCTTATTTCAAATTACTCTGTGGTGGGTGCTGATGGGTCGGAGATTAAGTCCCCGACCTCACAGACTTCACAGTTCAGTGGCGAGAAGGAGATGCCCACTGCCAGGTAATGCAGAGGGGAAAGAAAATGTTCTTCAGTTTCTAAATTGTTAATATCTGGCACCGTGCGAAGATTTACAGGGAGGATCTCATTCAGTCCTCGCACCACAATGAGGTAGATTCCATTCCTACCTTCATCTCATGTGTGCAAAAAAAAAAAAAAATGAGGCTGCAGAGAGAGGAGCAATTTTCCTAAAGCTGGAGGTGGTAGCGATAAGAGGAAGTCCATCCTTTTTACCCCTTGACTACATATCTCAGACATCATCATTTCACATGCTTGGCCAAGTTGTTAACATGTCTTTAAAAGACTTCTTAAAGAAAAAAAAAAAAAAAACTTTCTTATCCTCCAACCCAGGATAGATGTATTTACTCTTGCTTATCGATTTATGTTAGCACTAGAGGCCCAGTACATGAAAATGCATGCCGTGGGGTGGGGGTCCCTCAGCCCGGCCTGCTCCCTCTCACAGTTGCCCTCAGGGGCAGGAGGTGACCTGGCAATCACGAAAACGATGCCCCATCACATCTCTGCTGCTGCCACTGCTGACAGCGCAAACCTCGGCCTACCCTGATTACTTGAGCCTCAGGCAGCCCTGGGCAGCTGGGCAGCTGCCATCTGAGGCTTGCCTGTGCCTCAGGCCGGCCCTGAGTGGCTGGGGGCTGAGGGGACTGGGGGACTCCGGAGGCAGGCATGTGGAGGCTTGCCACGAGCCTGCCAACCCGGTGGGGCTGAGGGGCCTGGGCACCACCATCTTGTGGCTGTGGGCACCGCCATCTTTGAGGGTGGGGCAGTCAATTAGCATATTCACTCCTATTGACTGTGGGCACCTCCATCTTTGCGACAGCATGAGGGCCAATTAGCATATTGCCTTTTTATTAGATAGGATGGATACATGGACAGTTGTTATACACTTTGATTTAGAATCCAGCACTATCTTCTTATTTTGTTGCTCAGCTTGTTCCCAGCTTTGGCCATTGGGAGATGTCTCGGCTGGCTCATATATCCCTTTGACATCCCCCATCATTGTATTTTTTACTTATTTGAAAATTTTCTTATTTTTTGGCACTATAAGACTCCCCAGTCTTATCATGTAAATGTCCTTGTTGGCTGTGTTTGAAAACTATATTAGCCCTAACTTGTTTGGCTCAGTGGATAGAGCATCGGCCTGCGGACTGAAGGGTCCCAGGTTTGATTCCGGTCAAGGTCACATGCCTGGGCTATGGGCTCAATCTCCTGTAGGGGGTGTGCAAGAGGCAGCCAATCAATGATTCTCTCTCATCATTGATGATTCTATCTCTCTCTCCCTTTCCCTTCCTCTATGAAATTAATAAAAGTATATTTTAAAAAACTATATTAATCTTATTCATTTGATCAGGTGCTCTGTAAGCCCAGTGTACATGAGCCTAGATTTGTGGCTACACATTGAGTTTCCCAGTACATTATTTCTGTCTTTCTTTCTTAAAAAAAAAAAAAATATATATATATATATATATATATATATATATATATATATATATATATATATTTTTTTTTTTTTATTGATTTCAGAGAGAAAGATAGAAACATCAATGTTGAGAGACAATCATGGATTGGCTGCCCTCTGCACGCCCCACACTAGGGACTGAGCCTGCAACCCAGACATGTGCCCTTGACCGGAATCGAACCTGGGACTCTTCAATCCGCAGGCTGATGTTCTATCCATTGAGCCAAACCAGTTAGCGCTATTTCTGTATTTCTACCTTCCTTTTGAATGGAGGTGGGAATTGACTGGGTTTGACTACCAACCTCTGAGGCTGGATTTGAACCTGGAGCAGCACCGATTTACGACAACGGCATTAACTCAGTGCTTTCTGTTGCTTCCAATAAACTAGAGAAATTATTAGTCTCTTCACATCATGCTGACTGTCTCATATTCTGCTTTGGTTGAACAGCTGGAGCCAAAGGAACCTAACAGCTATGTGCCCTCTGGCAAGGTTTCCCAACCTCAGCCCTGCTGATGTTTGGGGCTGGACACTTCCTTGTTGTGGGTGGGGCTGTGCTGTCACGGAGAGTGTTCCCAGCATCCCTGGCCCCACCCACGAGGTAACAGTCGCACCCACCACGTTGTGACAACCAAAATGTCTCTGGACATTGTCCCAAGTACACCCAGGGGTACAACCACCTCCAGTTGAAATCGAACTTCCATAATAATAACCTGAGACATTTCTATTTGCAGGCTCACCACAGAGAAGAGGCTCGAAGGCCTGGAGTCAACAGTCCTTTTACCGTGGAATCGGATCAGCTTTGATTCACTGGGCAAGACTAGTCAAAGGCAACCTTCCAGGACCAAGCAGGGTGGCTGGCATTTGGGCAATTTGAAAAGTGATTCCAAAGGTCGGTCTGTTTCGTTCATTGAAACACCTGTACCTACGTGGTGAGTGTTAGCGCTGTGGTCCTGGCCGGCGTCCAGCCCAGGTGGGCGCAGCTGCCTGCCTTGGTTCTCCTTCCAACATCCGTTGGGCGCATGGTGCCTTTCTTCTGTTCGGCGCTGCATGTCTAAACCACAATTATTATCTCAGCTGGCAGAGATTAGTCAGGGGATATTAACTCCTGATCTGTTCCTAACGTTTCAGTTGGCCAAGCCCTGGAGGGTGAAACGGACAACTTGAGTTTCCCCACTTTGGCTCTGGGGCATGGAATCATGGAGAGAGAAACCTTGAAATAGTTCATAAATCTGTGCAGGACATGCTTAGAGGAAGATTAGTCTTATAGGAAGTAAAACAAGCTCATCACAGTGTCCAGCACTTTGCTGTGTAGACATGATTGAAGGACATTCCTGATGGCCCCCATCTTGCCTCTGATCGGGAGCCCTGCTTACACCTGTCCTTTCAGGAAACGGTGCCCTTCTACGACTTTTCTCAATCCCTGTTCCCCATAAACAGCCAGTCCTGTATTTTAACCCCTGTAGAGGCCTTGTCTCTGCATAGCAGCAGTGTGAATGGAATACACCTAGGATACCAACTTGTCCAGGTCTGTACAGGACTTTCTGATTTTTGCACTGAAAGTATGGGTCCCAGGAAATCCTTCCATCCCCGTCAAACCAGGATAGTTCGTTACCTTAACTCCTTGAAGGCCACATCCATATCTCATTTGCTGTGACCTCAACCCTCTCCAAACACACCTCTCAGCATGTAGGTCCGGAAGTGATTTTGCATCTTTAAAAAAAAAAAAAAAAAAAAAAAGGTTTGATGTGAGAAATGGAAACTAACTGCAACTCTCCGACTGGCCACGAGGGGGCGTGCTCTCCCACATAGCCAGTGCTGC